GGACAGACGCATGTAGTGTAGATATAATGGAACTCTAAGACAGGGCAGACGCATGTAGTGTAGATATAATGGAACTCTAAGACAGGACAGACGCATGTAGTGTAGATATAATGGAACTCTAAGACTGGACAGACGCATGTAGTGTAGATATAATGGAACTCTAAGACAGGACAGACGCATGTTGCACTTTATGTATCACCCCCCCCCCCCACCCCCTCCCCCCCCCCCCCTCGGTTCTAGTGTTATCTTTCCATTATTTAACCCTGGCCTTACAACAACGCGCCTCCCCCTCCCCTCCCGGCCGACCAGAGATAAGCTCTACGACAACAAGTGCTGTCTACAGGAAGGTCAAGTCAATGTTTTCACAGGGCCTTACCCCTCCCGCCCCAGACACATGACAACTGGTCTAATCTCAATCAAGGTCAAGAATTAATTAGTCAACAGTCTGTTCATTACAAGCCACGGGTAGGGGGATTGAAAACACACGGAAAACAAACATAACAAAAAAAGGACAGTTCAGATTTTTGTCTAATCATAACATCGTATGATTTATCCAGTGTTAAGTGTTTAAAATATTGTAGCATTGAACCAACTATCCGAGGACCAAAATGATGTTTTACAAGACGATATTCAATAACCTTTCCCAGATAAACATGATGTTTTACAAGACGATATTCCACAACGTCGCCAACAACAGACAACCCCTCAAAATCCCACAACAAACCCACATACGCCCAGAACAACATCATATAACCCCACACAACCCCACAACAATCCCCACACGACCCCACAACATCACACAACCCACACAACATCACACAACCCCACAACAACCACCACACAACCCTCACAACAACCCGCACAAAAACCCTACATAACCCCACACTACCCCCCACACAACACCCACAACAACCCCCACCTACATGCTAACACACTAAACGCACGCCATAAATTGTGTTTGAAACTGTCACCACACTTTAAACCCTTGCAGGCCAACGCCCTTTCTGTCTACTCTACTTGGATGATCTTTGTTCTAACGCCGCCTATAAAACACCAGTATCAAATAGATTCAATACCCCCCCCCCCCATCCGACAATAAAATCTATTGTGTCATACGACCATAGAGGAAAAAAAATTAAAAATCCCCCCTCCCCCACACCCCCATCACCATTCCACCCAGTTGTAATATTAACTTGATGTAATTCGATGAAGTCAAATCATCAAATTAAATGTCAGCCGTTCAGTCCCCGGTGCTGTCTGCGCATGCCCCACAAAGACGCCTTAATCCCCTGCTCGAGTCTAGACCTGATATTTAAGTGCTGGACGCAGTAAAGTTGTTTTGTTCCGCAAATCAAAGATTAGCAGCTCGTTCATAATTTTATTAGCCCGAGCCTCAACACGGCACCCTCGCATTCTCCATTCAATCGTGGACCAACCGGTCCGGAGCGGACATTTCGTCCGGCTTTTGAACCGGCCGGGAAATCCCGGAAACCTAGGATCCGGTGATTGGTGTCCACACAATCTCAAAGCTCCGCCATTTTTTAAACACGTTTTACAAGTTTTAGTCATTGTTGAAGTTTTTTTATTCTTTTTTTTTAAAATCAGATTTCATCATTGACAAATAACGATTCAATCGACAATACGGTGGGAGATTTATTTTAAAACCAATCATGTTCCACCCTCCCACACAACCGCCCCCACACCCAGCGGCCCCCACATGCCCTCTCATCAATACATTCGTACTGATTACAAGATCCAACGACCTACAGCCCGAGCTAACAGGACCCGAATATTCTCTATATTTAGTGTACACAGATATTTCATAAGCCCTCGCCAATCAATGCTCGTCCACGGGTGTCGAATGATGAATGCACCGGTACAACTCCATGCATCGGGGCGGGGGGTCGACCTGTTAGTGAGTGCATTATCAAGAGAGTAGGGGGGAAATGGGGGGTTGTGATTCTCCAGGTGAGAGGAACAAAGGTGGCAAGATATCATAAATAGGCTTGCACTGACACACGCCCTATAGCGAGACTTGATGGGCTTTTGAGCGTGGACGTGTACGTAATGGGGTGATGGACAGTGCAAGGGGACATAAGCCAGGTCGACAGGGGAGATCACTGATGGAAATGTCGTGTTGGGAAAAAGGTGCGCAAAATAAACAGTCGATATGAGCGTGAATGAGAACAAATCTAGAGTGTGACCCAGAGGTCTTTAAGTCCACCCGGGATAGGAGATGGCGGGTTACCGCACGTGGGGGGACAAAGAATTTTTTATGACGCTGGTCAACAGATCGATTTATTACTCCATGGTCGCCTTTTGAAGCCGCGGTGGCTGAAAGTTGGGGGGATTACTCCCGGGAATATCTCTTTGACCGGGCCCGGGTACAAATAATGGAACTGTTCCGTTTGGTATGCGAGGGGAAAAAGTAATGTACAATACCGGTGAACCGGCTGGTTTATGCCGGTGAACCGGCTGGTTCATGCTAGGAGAAGGAGTGTTGAGGATGGTATTGTTGATTAGATCTAGTTTGCGGTTACGTCCTTTGGTGTAGGGGGATGAGACAATAACTGGGGGGGGGGGGGGGGACCAGCTGTAACCCAAACCCTAACACAAATACCCGAGCTGGTGGATGAGCCTTGTCTCCGTGTGAAATCAGCGCTGTGGTGTACGGGCGGGGATTGTCACGGCTGGTGAGCAGAAAGTGGCCGTCCGGTTGCCGGTTCAATTGCCAGCAAGTGGTCTTCGTATTGCCGGATACAATGCAGTTTGATAACATTAAATTGGTTTCCGGTTAACTTTCCGGCTAGATTGCTGTGAAGTATGCCATATTTTTACCGACTGTAATATCGTTGCAAACATTAGTTGCCTTGAAATAATTAAACTTTAGTTTCGTCTACATCGTCTGAACATGGCTTCTGAAATTCCGCATAAATTGTGTGGAATTATTCTTTGGTTGATACGCATGAAAGCATTTAAGGTCTGGTTTACATGCTTGTTTTGATCATTGGTGTTCTGAAAAGATCGTCTAAGAGAGCCGATAGTTGCCGGAAAATTCCGTTCCATAAATTTCAGTTTCCCGGGTTGATTACGAGCAAGTGTTCCTCGAGTTAGATTTCAACCCTCGCGATTCAAATCTCTGCCTAGAAACTGGCCAGGAGAGTGACGTCAAGACGCTCCGTGTAGAACAGCAGCATCTGGTGAGCGAGCTCTTCCTGAGTGCTTTTGTCTGCACGAGTCACGCTTGCATGACCTCGACCCTAGACCGCATTCTTCCTTCACACCCACACTCCGTAGAACCCACTCCCCCGTTACTCTACTCCATTGAACACTTATGTTTTTGGTACGTTGGGGGGTGGGGACACTTTACAATTTTATTGAGGCCGCTACTCTTTGATCCTTTAACTGTTCATTCATCAGCACTCATACCCACCGTACAATCCCTGCTTCGATCGCATCACCACTGTTATATATCTCATATATTTCATACCAGGAGTTATTTTTAGATTCAAATTACACGTGAATTAAATCTGGCCATTGTGGTTTTGTCGTCACGCTGATGACGTCAGCTGGCCAGTATTGTCACGTGGCTCGTGAAATCCAACATGGCGGAGAAATGAGAACTGTTTTATCGACCGGGTACCGCAAGTCGTCTGTCATCCGTCTGTCAAAGGCGTGACGTACTGATGGATGGGAGATGTAGAAAGTGTTTGGCTATTGAAATGATAATGCGTGCATTCATAGCCTTTTGTTCTAAAGTTCTTTGATGACTAATTTTTTCAACATTGGAGGAGTTTTTTTTAATGTGGTTTTTTTATGTGAATATAATAATCACATCATCATCATGACAATATTTAATTCCTGCAGGGTTGTATTTATCTTACAGAGGAAAGTAAACCGTTATATAAGAGACTAATCAGATCAGCTCAGAGTTTTTGGAACAGTTTTGAGTATTATGGGATTACGGCAAATGATTACTGTGACCCTTTCGTACCCTTGCAAAAATAAAGATAAATGAGAATAAAGAACATGCAGTTAGAGACTATATATATATATATATATACATATATATATATATATATATATATATATATATATATATATATATATATATATATATATATATATATATATATATTATGCGTGTTAGCTTGACACCCCCGCGAGCGCCCTCAAAAAATATTGACCAGTTTCAGGAAGTGCCGTTTGCAATAAAGCTTAAAATATGGGGTTAGAAAACATGAGGTTGTTTTAAAAAATAGGGGTTGTCATGAAATTTTAGGGTTGTTGGAAAATACGGGTTTAGCATAGCAAATATAGGAATGGCTTAAAAGATGGAATTGTACAAAAATTATGGGATTGGAAACAAGTAGGAGTTTCTGGTAAATATTGCGTTGCAAAATGGGTTTTTGGAAAATGCGATATCGGAAAATATGAGGTTGTTTGAAAATACGAGCTTGTCACAGGTCAGTAAATAAGTGGTTTGTCAGAAGTTATTGGAACGTCATAAAATATAAGTCTAGAACATCTGGGAGAAAATGTTTTCACACAAATTCTGACCAAAGTCCCAGAAAGAAAGCTAGACAAAACGTAGCCAAAAGACTACAGAGAAATCTTGACACCCAATTGAACCATTGACTACTGGGGCACATGGTCCAGCCCACACGAGAACCACTGGAAACCATCTTGTAGCAACGCTTGCTTTCTCTGGTCAATTTTTTAAACAAAAAAAAAACTGGACAAGTGTCTGGTCAAACTCGACCCTTGAGTCCACCCAGTCACTTCTGCCCTCACTCAAGCACAAACAACTCAGCTCTCCCTGAATTATCTCCGCAATTATTTTCTTGTACCAGCCTATTTAAAAAATCAATAGCGCTTTCGACACGTGGGCAATCACCCGATGTACAGGAAAAAATTATTGTTACAATGTTGGTATTACTATTGAAGTTTATGTAGTAATATTTTTTTGAAAATAAATATTGTGAGTTATCGAACCTTACCAGTTATGACCAAGTTATGGTTCCTGCCACTCGTCACTGACGTCACACGACACGGCAGATCCACGTCTTTAGGAACAGCACACTGGTGACGTGTGTAGTCTCCCAGTTGGCCGTGGGCGTTATGGCTGGGAGATAATAAGTGGGATAGTGACAGAATGTGACAACAGGTGACAGTGTGGGACAAGTGACAGTGTGGGACAAGTGACAGTGTGGGACAAGTGACAGTGTGGGACAAGTGACAGTGTGGGACAAGTGACAGTGTGGGACAAGTGACAGTGTGGGACAAGTGACAGTGTGGGACAAGTGACAGTGTGGGACAAGTGACAGTGTGGGACAAGTGACAGTGTGGGACAAGTGACAGTGTGGGACAAGTGACAGTGTGGGACAAGTGACAGTGTGGGACAAGTGACAGTGTGGGACAAGTGACAGTGTGGGACAAGTGACAGTGTGTGACAACAGGTGACAGTGTGGGACAAGTGACAGTGTGGGACAAGTGACAGTGTGCGACAGTGACAGTGGTGTGACAGTGACAGTGTGTGACAGTGACAGTGTGTGACCGTGACAGTGTGTGACAGTGACAGTGGTGTGACAGTGACAGTGTGTGACAGTGGTGTGACAGTGACAGTGGTGTGACAGTGACAGTGGTGTGACAGTGACAATGTGTGATAGCGATTGACATAATGTGACAGTGTAAGAGTGTGACTTAATATGACAGTATGTGATAGTGACAATGTTTGACAGTGAGTAACATAATGTGACAGTGTGTGACAGAATGTGACAGTGTGTGACAGAATGTGACAGAGTGTGACAGTCTCACTGTAGGTGCTTATGTGTGTGTGTGTGTGTGTGTGTGTGTGTGTGTGTGTGCATGTATATTCTTCCAAATGTGTATCACCCATTACATAACGTTAACATTTAGAATTGAACCAAGTATTAGTGCTAGGGTTTGGTGTGTGTTTGTAATAGCGCTGGTATCTATATCAGCTGCTTCTTCCCAGTGGGTGCTAACTAGCGCCTAAGAGAAATCTACAATCAATATAAAAAACATTACGTAACTTTAGATAAGTAAATACATCAATCATATATAGAGGTATGTCTCTAAAGACAGCCAAAGTGATCTTTACGATTATCGGTTACCCCCCTTGTCAAATGTGGTTATTTGAGTTCTTTGTTTCGGTATTATTCAATGACGGCGGTCCTTTGAAATAATGGTTATTGTTTTAACAATGGGTATAAAATTGGCGGTGAAAATATAGCCTATGTTTGAAGTGAGATGGGTGGAGAGGGGTTCAAGATTTTTATTTTCTGGTGGGTAATGTCAAAAAGTTTGGAAACCGTTGATTTGATTGTTTGGAGATGACACTAATAGACATGTACTTAAACTAATGTGATTAAATTATCAAGGGACACTACCTACTGTAGAAGTCTTGTTAGGGGACACTACCTACTATAAAAGTTTAGTCCAGGGACACCACCTACTGTATAAGTTTTGTCAGGGGATACTACCTATTATAAAAGTCTTATCAGGGGACACTAATGTAATCAAATTTTCAAGGGACACTACCTATTATAAAAGTTTTGTCAGGGGACACAAACTACTTTAGAAATTTAGTCAGGGACACTACCTACTATAAAAGTTTAGTCAGGGGACACTACCTACTATAAAAGTTTAGTCAGGGGACACTACCTACTATAAAAGTTTAGTCAGGGGACACTACCTACTATAAAAGTTTAGTCAGGGGACTCTACCTACTATAAATATTTAGTCAGGGGACACTACCTACTATAAATATTTAGTCAGTGGACACTACCTACTATAAAAGTTTAGTCAGGGGACACAACTAAAACTGAATGCGAGAGTGACCTACCCTACTGTAGCCACAACGCCGTGTTGAAAAAGAAACACCGAGTGTTTATCTCCACACGATACTTGGACCACGGGTCGGTGGAGAAGGTAGCGCAGCAGGCATGGAACTTTCTGGAAGTCATTGAAATATTTTTTATCTATTTATAAGGTTACGTAAAATGACGGTAATAATAGCAAGTGCAGTAACTAGTCGTTCTTTAATCACTGCTGTGGTAATAGATGCTAGAAGTCACCGTTTGACCAATCACCCACACGACCCACACTCACCCCCACATTCTGTAGCTCAAACGTGAATTAAATCTCTGCTAGTAGCATTGATCACATGAACTAGGGGAGATAACTCACCTGACTTTCCTTGTACCTGACGTCATCACTCACCTGACTTTCCTTGTACCTGACGTCATCACTCACCTGACTTTACCTGACGTCATCACTCACCTGACTTTCCTTGTACCTGACGTCATCACTCACCTGACTTTCCTTGTACCTGACGTCATCACTCACCTGACTTTACCTGACGTCATCACTCACCTGACTTTACCTGACGTCATCACTCACCTGACTTTACCTGACGTCATCACTCACCTGACTTTACCTGACGTCATCACTCACCTGACTTTCCTTGTACCTGACGTCATCACTCACCTGACTTTACCTGACGTCATCACTCACCTGACTTTCCTTGTACCTCTCGTTCTTGAAGTCGTAGCCCAGCTGAGCGTGGAAGTTGTTCCCAAAGGCGAAGACCTGCCCACGTGATGTGGTCACCACGGTGTGGCGACTACCACACGCCACACTGGCGATCTGGGTATCCAGCTCCTGACCCAGGCTTATCCTTGTGGGTGCCGGCTGGTCGGTTGATAATCCGGTACCCAGTCTGGCAAGTGGGAGATGTTTTAATAGCACTAGTGCACATGAAGGCGGGCTAATCAGGTTAATTAACAATGTGCATTACTCAAATAAAATAATTACGTGAGTGTTGGTGTTTAAAAAAATTGAAATTAACAATCGGGTCTTGTTCTCAATTTTATCAACGTCGCAATGTGTCAATATTGTATGCTTGTCAAAATTTGGAACGTGTCTAAGTTTATGTGGGTGACGACTTGTCTACATTCACAACTGGACACTATGGACATTCTACGCGTCCTCAGTCAGAGCCCAAACCAGCATTATTCAAGTACCCAGCTACAATTAAGTTTTTATTAAACTTAAGTAAGTAGCAACTGCAGTGCAAAAGACGAAATCCCTAAAACCCTAAGTACCCCTATGACCCTAAGGACCCCTATGACGTACTAGTTTGGATGTGACCGTTAGGTCCATCACGTGATTTATATCCCAGAGCACCAACTCACCAAAACGTTGAAAGTTTGTTTTACTAGCCATAGTTATTTAAAAGCGTCAGTCATACCTCCCTCCCCTACACACCCCCACCCCCCTTATCATCAAATCCCGGTAATAAAATACGACAAATTCGTTCATAGCCCACCCCAACAACCACGTCAACTTTAATGTGTGCATCTGTGATGGACCATGCAAACTACTGGGAAAGACGTGCCGTTTAATTTTTCAGCACTAAATTATTTCCAGATTCTACATGTTCAAATAGCCTTTTGTGTTAACTATTTCTAACATGTTTTACCATTGAATGTCCATAAGGTAGTTCTAGACATCTTTTTGCACCATTTACACCAATGTTTACAAATAGTTCCCAAACAAATAACGTGACTTTATGCTACAACGTTTGTCTTCTTTGATTCCATTACACGATTGTTGAATACAATTCATTCAGGTAAAATAAAAAATTGAGCTAGAACAGGGAACACAAAGGAATGTTTATTGGATACTTTAATTCTTCCTAGTTTATTTGGTTTCCTTGGTAACCTTTCCTGTTTATTCCGGAGACAACTCTGATTTATTTTTCTTTTCAAAATAAGCAAATTATTCAACGGAAGTCACTATGCATGGGCAAGAGGGAAGCACCTTTCAAATTGGCAATATTTCGCCTTCATTTTAGTTCTATTTTTTTCTGTGTTTATTCTTGCAGATTATTTACGTTTTTTCCCCCCTCTCTAAACTTGGAAGCCCCAATGTCAGACACCCCAGAATGCCGTTTTTAGATTGCGCATGGCCTTTTAATTCAAGTTCTGACAGGGCCGGTTGCGAGGTTCTGACACATCCATATTACTGTGTTAACCCAGCCTCTTTCAGACCCAGCCTCGCTACTGTGATTGAGGTCGCCACTGGGTTTGACCCTTCTCTCTAGGATTACCGCCCTTGCCTGACAACCCCCCCCCCCCCTACATCGTCCAACACACCAGCAACATCTTCCTCGTCTTTTCAAGCCTTCGTCAATACAAGGGAGAGAAATTTATTTCGTTTTGACTCCTTATACGGTTCCCTCCCTTCGCTCCCAACACATTTCTCTTGAAGCTTTTATCTGTCACCCCCTCCCCCTCCCTCCCATCTATCTGTATAGAAGTGCCATAGAGATCGCGATGAATATTTCCTGGGCTATCGATCGCTTCCAGACGGCGCGGCGGTCCGGCAAGGCCTAATGCTTGTTTACATGCCGGTAATGAATCCTCCATCATGATCCGGTGACCGGACGCTGTCCACACACTGACCGGAGGGATCTTTCTCCGGCTAAGACAGCCATGTAATGACATGACTCCTGACTCCATGTCCGTAACCATGTTATGACTTCATGCCACATGTATGATATGACCCCCATACCAAAATATATGACAAGACTCCATGCCCACATATATAACATGACTCCATGTTCACATAATTGTCATGACTCCATGCCCACTTATATGACACGACTTCATGCCTTCATATATATGACATTACCCCCATAGCCACAAATATGTCATGGCTCCATGTCCACATATATGACATGACTCTATGCCCACATATATAACATGAACCCATGTCCACATATTTGACATGACTCTACGCCCACAGCTGTTATGACTCCATGCCATATCATGACTCCCATATGACAACTATGTGACAACAATTTCTCCCAGCCCCTGCGTGTAAAAGAGGTTCCAGTTCCTTCCCTCATCGATTGGACTTGAGTTAAACAGAGAATTGCTCACATAGTTGGCCAAGGCCATCAATACTCGGCCACGGCCATCAATATACCATCTACCGCTTGGATGATTAGACAAACACGGGGCAAGGGGGCTGAACCGCTGACAAACTCCAAACTGATCAGCACACAGGACCTTAGAGAGGTCCTCCTGGAGGTCCTCCTAGAGGTCCTGGGGCAACAATATCCTACGCAATAATCCCTGCCCTCCCCGGCCCCGGGTTGATGGGAGCCAATCGAAGAGTCGCGAGCTTTGACCGGGGAAACAAACAGCGTTTAATCTTCACCTAACCAATAAATATGTCGGGCCGGTCGCCGGGCCGGCATCAAGTGGACAACGCGGCCAAGAAACCCAGACTACACAGACAGTGGAACGCTCTCAAATTTTCGCGTTTCCCCAACACCCGCGCGCATCTCATCACAATTCCGCTCACCCTCCGATTGTGTGTTCTGTCATCGTAAAACATTTCTCGTGCGCTCTTATAGATTCATAATTTTTTTTTTCGGAAGCAATTTCTCCACCCCACCCCACCATCCAAACTTCTTTACTGCCGGTTTCGCCCCGGCTCGCAAATGACAGGCCCTCTTACATTTTGGTATCATAGCGGCGTGACAAGGGAGGTAACGATGACTAGCCTCGATTTGGCAATTATGGCGGGGATTTAAAGCTATGATTTTGACGGGCGTATGGAGACGGCTGCCCTTGTTAAAGGTGAGGAAATGAGTAACAGCCCTAGAAAGAATCAAACGGTTTTCCCAAGATTAAAAATGGCGCCCTCGTCTGCCCATTTGTCCGCCTCGTAAAGATACAAATGGATTGTGTTAAGATTATTTATTGTAGGAAAAATTCGAAACTTGTATAATAAAAATGAGACTAAAATCGCTTTAGTTATACTTAATACAACGTTTTATATCTTAACTACCAATTCACTTTTAAACCAAGAAGATATTATGTTAGCCTTTCTTTTTTACAAAAAGAAATCTTTCCAGTTTCCCAGTTAAAAAAAAAATTTGGAATAAAAATTTCATGAAAAATTGTCTGCGTAAATCTCCCTACTTGTATGTTATAATAACGGCCTATTGAAGGGCGTTAGTGGGAGGGGTGGGAGAGAGAGAGGGGGGCAGTTGGGCAAGTTTAAATTAAACCCCGGAAAATTGTCCTGCCCTGTCGAAGTGTAAATCGATCGTCTGCTCACCAAACCACAAGAAGAGGACAATCCCTTTGTTTCGGGGGAAAATGGAGGGAAAAATACAATCGAGGCTAACTCTTCCAAAAACCCACTCTCGCCAAGCCAGAACCGTTGACGCTAAAAACAATACTTGGGGGGGGGGGAACAAATGAGGGCGCTAAGGGGGGAGGGTGAGAACAAATGAGGGCGCTATGAAAGACAACAGCCTCACTGGAAGCCACCCCCGGGCCCAAATGTTTTATTAGAAAACAAGGGGGGGGGGGTTATGGGGGGTTATGGGGGGTTATGGGGGGTTATGACTTGGGGTTTCTCTCCAACAGCTGACAGGGAAATTGATAATTGTCCAACGCTGTAACCTTGTAATTACAGCAGCCGACATGGGCTTGTCTGGGGCGTGTTATGTCCCAGGTCAAGTCTTCATGCTAGGTTCTGTGTAAGCTCTACGTTCTGGGTCACTGCATCAGGCGAGGGTGGTGCATCGGGGGGGGGGGGGGGGGGGGTCAATGGATCAGGCGAAGGTGGTGCATCAGGACGGGGGGGGGGTCAATGGATCAGTGCGGAGAGTGGGGTAACTGCAGAAGGACCAGATTATCTGTTTTACTGACAGGCAGAGATGTTAAATCCGGTGTCCAAAGGTTTCATAATTCGCTCATTTTTGGAAGCCATGTTTCTATGGGACAAGGAGTGTGGTCATTTTTTTAACACGTCTGATGTTGTTTCTATTAACGATTGACCCGAACTATTTGTATGATTCCCAACAAATTAAACTGAGCACTACTTGAATAGTGGGTTCGAATCTAACCCCTGACATTTTCCTACTATATTTTATTAAACTGTACCATTTCTACTTGTACCATTTTTACTTGCACCATTTTTATGTGTACCATTTTTACTTGTACCATTTTTACTTGTACCATTTTTACTTGTACCATTTTTACTTGTACCATTTTTATTTGTACCATTTTTACTTGTACCATTTTTACTTGTACCATTTTTACTTGTACCATTTCGACCTGTATAATTTTGACCTGTATAATTTTGACCTGTATAATTTTGACCAGTATACTTTTGACCTGTATAATTTTATACCACATTGACTGTTACCTGTTGTAATTAGAATTCGTTCACTCGTTAATTAAACTAATTAGGCCTGTTTATATAAATTTTAAACTAATTAAACTAACTAAAAGATTTAAACAAAACTTACTGTGCGCTAGCCCCACTACCCCACACAAAAATCTCGTCGTCGACTGAAAAAAAACAAAAACAAAGATGTTGACAAAGAAAATGGGATTCAATTTTTGAGACGGGATTAAAGTTTTAAAATATTGGCAGGGAGACTAAACGTTAGGGTTAGGATTAATTTAGATCACACTTCGTTAATACAGCCACACACACTTTGTTAATACAACCACACACACGCCGTTAATACAACCACACACACTCCGCTAATACAACCACACACACGCCGTTAATACAACCACACACACTCCGCTAATACAACCACACACCCCGTGGGGCCGTGTCCCTCACCCTAGCATCCATGCTGGGTCGGGGTTTGTAGGCAGATAATCTCTGATTTGCCGCTGGTTGCCGATGTATAATGTAATAAATACCCGGATGGAACGGCTGCCAGATCGAGGCTGTTCTGGTAACCCATGGAAACAGGATAATGGCGGGGATTAGACGAGCTAATCCCGGAGTGAGAGGTTTGTAATGAATGACATGGTTGGTGGTGACACAAGGTTGGTGGTGACTGGTGATCAAACAATGGTTGGTGGTGACTGGTGATCAAACAATGGTTGGTGGTGACTGGTGATCAAACAATGGTTGGTGGTGACTGGTGATCAAACAATGGTTGGTGGTGACTGGTGATCAAACAATGGTTGGTGGTGAGTGGTTAACAATGACAAGGTTGGTGGTGAGTGGTTAACAATGACAAGGTTGGTGGTGAGTGGTTAACAATGACAAGGTTGGTGGTGAGTGGTTAACAATGACAAGGTTGGTAGTGAGTGGTGACCTAGTGAAATTTGAAATGGTGACAAGATTGGTGGATAACTGGCAAACTACAATTGCAAAGTTGTTGTTGAGTAGTGACCTATCGAGATTTGAAATGGTGAAAATGTTGGCGGTGACTGGTGACCAACAATGACACACCGTTGGTGGTGAGTGGTGATCAACAATGGTTAGTGTAGACTCGTGACCTTTCGAGATTTGAAATAGTGACAATGTTGGCGGTTACTGGTGACCAACAGTTGTTGGTGACTGTTGACAACCCCAATGTTTCTGGTGATGTTGACAACCCCAATGTTTCTAGTGACTGTTGACAACCCGAAGTGTTTAATAACCGACCAGGTTGGCGTCAAGTGGTGACCAGTGCCGGCATGACAGGCGCGGCTAGTCTGGCATTAGCCTGCCCCATCCGGTCACTAATGACGGGGTTAACCTAGCCCGTGACTGCTCACTTTAACGCACGTGTCAACACTGTACTCACGCAGGCACGCGAGGCAGTGATACGTCATACAGTAACGACCGTACAAAGTGTTTTAATTATACCTTTGTGGTCATTACCACTAGTACAATACGTTTGCGGTAATTACCACCTCCATCATCTTTATTTTGTAAAAACTGGTATTTTATTGTCACTTTGCCTTGACCGTGGACTAACGAAATGAATGAGTTGAGGTTTCAATACATAGGTCTAGGAACCGTTCATTCGTTATTGTGGGTTGAGGACTTTTTTTAAATTAGTGTGGTTGATTGTACTATTTGCGAATAAATGTAAAGGCGCTTTGGTAGAGTTATAAATTTTTTTTTCAGTATTAAAATTCTTTAAACCTTGTAAATCTGGTACAGTTCTATCGTTGTAGTACTGAATTTTCTCAGCAGAGTTAATCTGGTATTTTCATGGTGAGTTTTTTGTGAATCGTGCTCTTATAGTAAATGTCTTCGGTGCTGTTCGGTACGGATTCTCTGGAACATTTTCTGTTCGAATTTTTGGAGCAGATTTAACTTGGATGTTTGAACCTTGTACAAATGGCATCAGAAATATCGTGTTCGTTTGTTTGTTTGTTCGTCTGTTTCTTCTTTGTTGTATTTTGAAAACAAACTTTGAAAACATTGAACACATCTTCTTGTGTTGCTCTTTACGACTACCTAAATGGTCTACGTACAGTAGTGGTGTATAAGACACTATTCCCATCTGTACCATAAGGTAGTGGTGTTCAAAACACCATTCCCATCTGCAATATAATGTAGTGGTGTACAAAACACCATTCCCATCTGTATTATAATGTAGTGGTGTACAACACACCATTTCCATCTGCGCTATAAAGTAGTGGTGTACATACAACACACTCCACATGCACACACCTATAAACCGATATTGCCATAAACCGACACGACAACAACCGGAAGTGCTGCACTAGTAACATTATTACCCAGCCTCTATCTCATGAATACCCGAATTTCCGAGATCTTTTTTCCCATCTCAACTGAGAACTAGCCACATCTGACCTTGACCTTCCTCTTCCCCTTGTGTATTATGTATTCTAGTGGCTACAGCAGACGCTGGATGTATGGGCCGGGCAAGACCCCGGGGACGGGGCTAATTCCAGACATAGAGCGAGCCATTGATTATCCCAGTGTGGACGTCAGATCGCCGGGGTGGGGACGTCAGATCGCCAGGGTGGGGGGAGACGCTAGCACGAAGAAGCAGTTCATTACAATATCTAAGGTCGCGGCTGGGGTCGAACTCGGGACGGAAAGGTGGGGCCCCCCTTTGCCCTGTCTTAGCCGGTGTTAACGTGAATGTCGGAAAGGTGGGGGCCCCTTGCCCCGGTCTTAGCCCGTGCAGGGGCGAGTTCTGCCCCCTGGAGTGTCACGGCTAATGAATGGGGGAGGGGGATACATGAATAGGGATTAAATTACTCATCTGGTCTGGGCAACACACGGAGAAAAAATTTGATTTGTTACTGAACTGATTGGAGCTCGCTCTGCTTATATCATGCGGCATACAGCATGTCATGCGGCATACAGCATGCCGTGGGGCAGACATTGCAGCAGGCATGTCATGCGGCATAAGTCTCACACATAGGCACTGTCTTGCCATCTGACATAAAACATGTGTACTTGTAAGCCGTCCAACATTCAACTAAGGTCCCATATCATGCTCCATACAGAAAAAAATATGTTCTTGTATTAACCCAATAGGGCTGGTAAGTAGGTCACCAACCAGTTCTATGGCTCATGCAGGTTTTATTGAGCCGTAGAACTGGTCGGTGATCTACCTACCAGCCCTATTAAGAAACATATAGGCCTAGTCACTCACCATTATAGTCATGATGCATGACTAGAATATACGTATACACACCACAAGTTTATTTATAATAATAATCTATGTTGTTGCAATCTTCCATCCCCCCTTTAAAAGCACCATGTCTTTCTATCTAATCCCCTTTCTGTAACTCTTTCATCTCGATTATTTCCCTTTTTGGTATCAAATTAACCTTTGAAATACATTAACCAACAGTCATTGCTTATTTTTATTTTGTGTGCACCAAACTCTTGTAGATAACTTGCAACAGCAGTTACTTTATTTTCCAGCTACATTTTCAGTCAATATTCAAGTTTTTTGTTTTTTTTTTATCATTAAAACAGAGAATTTTTTTTTAAATCTGGGGCTGATTGACAGTCCAATTTATTCAAAATAAAGGATGCTTGTCGAACTTATTAATGGGATGAAAGATGGGATGAACGATGGGATGGAAGATGGGGACAGCAGGGGAAAAATCTTCAGACGTGAAAATGACGAGTCGATTGGGAGAGGGGGGGGGATATTTATGTGTGGAGTCAGCGTCTAATGGCACCACAGGGACGTGTATGGGCGTCAACTTGTGGTGGAACAAAATGGTTAACGACTGCATTCACACGGGCGGGCACGGCTTGAGACAAGGGGAGTAAGTTAATGTGAGATGTAGAGAAGGGAAGTAAGCTAGTGTGAGATGTAGAGAAGGGAAGTAAGCTAATGTGAGATGTAGAGAAGGGAAGTAAGCTAATGTGAGATGTAGAGAAGGGAAGTAAGCTAATGTGAGATGTAGAGAAGGGAAGTAAGCAAATGTGAGATGTAGAGAAGGGAAGTAAGCTAATGTGAGATGTAGAGAAGGGAAGTAAGCTAATGTGAGATGTAGAGAAGGGAAGTAAGCTAATGTCAGATGTAGAGAAGGGAAGTAAGATAATGTGAGATGTAGAGAAGGGAAGTAAGCTAATGTGAGATGTAGAGAAGGGAAGTAAGCAAATGTGAGATGTAGAGAAGGGAAGTAAGCTAATGTGAGATGTAGAGAAGGGAAGTAAGCTAATGTGAGATGTAGAGAAGGGAAGTAAGCTAATGTCAGATGTAGAGAAGGGAAGTAAGCTAATGTGAGATGTAGAGAAGGGAAGTAAGCTAATGTGAGATATAGAGAAGGGAAGTAAGCAAATGTGAGATGTAGAGAAGGGAAGTAAGCTAATGTGAGATGTAGAGAAGGGAAGTAAGCAAATGTGAGATGTAGAGAAGGGAAGTAAGCTAATGTGAGATGTAGAGAAGGGAAGTAAGTTAATGTGAGATGTAGAGAAGGGAAGTAAGCAAATGTGAAATGTAGAGAAGGGAAGTAAGTGAATGTGAGATGTAGAGAAGGGAAGTAAGCTAATGTGAGATGTAGAGAAGGGAAGTAAGCGTGAGATGTAGAGAAGGGAAGTAAGCGTGAGATGTAGAGAAGGGAAGTAAGCGTGAGATGTAGAGAAGGGAAGTAAGCAAATGTGAGATGTAGAGAAGGGAAGTAAGCAAGTGTGAGATTTAGAGAAGGGAAGTAAGTTAATATGAGATGTAGAGAAGGGAAGTAAGCAAATGTGAGATGTAGAGAAGGGAAGTAAGCAAATGTGAGATGTAGAGAAGGGAAGTAAGTTAATATGAGATGTAGAGAAGGGAAGTAAGCAAATGTGAGATGTAGAGAAGGGAAGTAAGCAAGTGTGAGATTTAGAGAAGGGAAGTAAGTTAATATGAGATGTAGAGAAGGGAAGTAAGCAAATGTGAGATGTAGAGAAGGGAAGTAAGCAAATGTGAGATGTAGAGAAGGGAAGTAAGCAAGTGTGAGATGTAGAGAAGGGAAGTAAGCAAATGTGAGATTTAGAGAAGGGAAGTAAGTTAATATGAGATGTAGAGAAGGGAAGTAAGCAAATGTGAGATGTAGAGAAGGGAAGTAAGCAAGTTTGA